GAGTCATTAAGGCATCTGCTATTATCTGGTTTAGTATTCCAGCTAATATGTGTTCTTGGCTCATCTCTTAATTTCTAATATTGAGACAGAGGAATATAGTATACCACACTAAGTTTCTGGGAAAAAAAATGTCCTTAATATTGGCTTCTCATTCACTGGTATAAACTAAAGTGAAAGAAAAACTGTTCACAGAGGAAAAAGCGTATCCAGGCTTAATAGTACCAATGAACATCCTCAACCAGTGGTACCAAAATTTGACAAGTCTAAGCAAGATGTTTTGACGCAATGGATACTGGCTTACTATGCTACCTCTGCCATTGTTGTGTGACTGCCTCATGCCATATACAAAATGGAACTTTAGAGGAGCCTATCTTGAGCAGGTCTTAACTAACCCTATTTTGACTCTACCTCTACTTGGCTCTATTTTTACTTACTTACAGTTAGAATTTAATGAATAATAGAAACCATAATTATAAGCATGTATACAGTAAATACAAGGACCATTAGTTCTGTTTAGCAAACAGATTTTTAACATGATTTGATCTTGCCTGACCCTAAGAAAGTCAACATACATTTTATTTTTGTGTTTTCAGTGAGATAGAGTTAGGATGGGGGTGGAGAAGTAGGAGGAGAAAGCAATTGTTCAGGAAACCTATGGCACTGCTCATATAACACAGAAGATTTATTCATTCCTATGTTGCAAATATTTCCAAGGTGACAAGAGACTTAGTCATTGAATGCCTCAGCATTGTGTGTAAAATAGGGGTAACACAAAGACTTTTCTCATAGCCAACAAAAATAAATACAAAGAATACTGCAAATAGTGTTATGGCAATTCTTGATTATAAAAGGATCAATTTGTACATTTCTCATTTTAAGGATAGAATTTATCAATACTCTCATCCCTGTCTCATCAGTAGTATGAGAACTAAAGGAAGTTCATCAAAATATATAACATCCAAAATGTATAACAGGTAACAAGTTTCTAGGACTCTCTTCCCTCCAGACATGTTTTATTCATATATGCATTCACTCAACATTTAGAGACCACCTACTATGTATAAGGCATTGTATTAAGAGGATGTGGACAATCCTATAGTTAGCTCAATACCTATATTTCCTACTGTCAAAGAGGTTAAATTCATATTATGGTAGTTTATTAAAAAGAAAAAAAACAGACTTACATTGGTCAATAAAAGGAAAAAATACACCAGCTCCAAGATTTTATGTTACTAAATACTGACGGAAACTCCTGAGCATTTTTTAAAATATAGTATTTTTTGAGAAGAATAATGCAAATTTTAATACGTTTCAATACTGGTAATTTGAAACTACTAAATTATTTAATTAAATACTTGGCATATTGAGTTGCCACTTTTTATGTTACATTTACAGAACTCTAACTAGTATATAATATGGTCTGTAATAGCCTGTCTATATTAAAAGTGTAGATATTTGTCAGAAAATATACAGAGCTTTTACCTAAAATAAACTTAACATCACTAACAGCAACACTTAGGAAAAAATACTGGGTGACTAGGATTTGATGAAAGTAAAGGATGATATTCCAGCCTTAAAATTTACATCTAGATTTTAATCCCTTTTCTAAGATTACTATTTTCGCTTTTTTCCCTCCCTCACTTCCACCCAACTGCAACAGAAGACACACGCACAAATCAGGAAATTATCTTACAATATACCCTTAAATTTTCTGAATATGCCCCATGTGTCCACTAATAGCCAAATGCTTTCAAATCTGTTCAGCTAAATGGATCAATAACTACATCCAACCTCACATAGTGGGGATGCCAACATAGTGAAATTGAGCCAAACACAAAATGTCTCTACGAGGACAAAAACTGTTACCAACCCAGTTATCTAGAGAGACCTACTCTCCCCAGGTATCCTACAGAGAAGGTAACATACACATTATCTAGAGCAGTCAACAGCTACTAAAAAAATCGTTGAGACTCAGAGTGAAGAATTTGGCTAACATATTTAGGAGCTAAAACCAGTGAGTCTTATAATAAGCCAATGTTATAGTTCAAGGTCTACTTCAAGTAAGAATTTTTCAAATTCAGAGTACACAAAATACGTAACAGCACAAGCAAACTGCTAACAAGCTTCTCTGTGCTCTCACTCATATGACACAGCTGAGAGCAACAATTGAGCAGGTGCAACCAAACTTTTGAGAATTCCTGCCTGTTGCCCAGGAACCACAACACCGTACAGTTAAGATTTGAAACAGGTGCAAACACTTTTTTCCATTCCTCAAGTGCTTAAGACAGTGCAGCAGACAGTACATCTGCAACTGCTCCTTACCTAAAACCACCACCATAGAAAAAACTCAAAAGCAGCAAAACAAAGTTTGAAAATAAAACAATAATGTCAAAAACAGTGATTCCGCAGTAGTCTCTGACCTCATATCAGCAGTTGCTGTAACAGTACAGTTTCATAAAACACTCTCTACTCTCTTCACCAGATGAATGCTTTGTAATTAAAATTATTCTGCCTCATCAAATCTTAGAAATGTTTATTTGATTCTTACAATAGAGTGAAATGGAAGGTATGTATAAAATGCACTATCCTTTGATGCTGTCAATATAAGTACTCAAAAATTAACATTTTCACATTATGAAATCTGTAAGTAACTTTAATACACAAAATAGTAATAGCTTGTAGATTAATAAATAGGTTAATATAACTATAGGTAATTCATATACATACCTGTGCAGCTATGGGGCACAGACAGATTTGCGATTTATCAGGTACTCTGAAATGTAAAACAAATATGTAAGTAAGAATTAATTTTCTAAATGGAGCCAGTTATTTATGCTAGACAATTTCTGCAGAGAAGTAGAAAAGACTGCAGTCCTTAAAGAGCTGAGTTATTTTATTTCTGTATTTTCTCCATAGGATACTTCACATCACCCTAAATTCACAACTGTACACAGAGCATCCCAGACCAGTATGATCAAACACAAGTGCCAGCAAGGGACTAAGACTTACCATGGCCTCTGAAAGGAAAATGCTTTCACTAGAGGATGAGACAAATACTTAAAAATGATTTTTTTTTGGTATTCTTCCAAGACTATTGCCTTCTTCATACAAATATGATAGCTACTCTCTAAAATGAAACCACTCAAATTCATCTACTCTCAGTTTGGATAGAATATTGGTGAGGAAGAAAGGAGCTTTTGTAGAGCAGTCCACAAAAATGCATAAATAAATAAAAGTAAACTCTGAATGTTCATTAACTTCAAGTTACAATAGCAAATAGAAATGAGATTGATTGCTATAAGAGGGAATGTTAAAGCCACACTATATATAATGCTTCAACCCAACACACTTCAAGGAAACTGCCAATGAAGTAGGTATCGAAACAGAAGTACAGCTTAAGCAAATATGCAGTTAACAATTAGACCTGAAAAATATTTGCATGTAGGTGGAAACCGTATTGCAACATGCAGCTTCTGAACTACTGTGACCCTTAAAAATATTTCATAATTCTTTCTGAAAGCAAACTAAAATACTTGCTTTATATAATTCTGAGTGTAAATATCAGTCATGATTATTTCTTCTACACACTTTCATGCAAGTGTGTAGAAGAAATAATCAATTTTGATAGTGACAATAAAACATCATCTTTATAACACTTCTGATGGGAATGTGAATTGCTAAAAATTGTCTGGAAAACTATTGGGTAATATGTATCAAGAACTTAAAGTTCAGAATCATTTCTCAGTAATTTTAGTTCTAGGAATCTATCTTACATAACTGAAAACCAACAGAGATTTATGTTCAAAAGATAATATGTATGACAGCAAAAAAACTAAAAGTAACCTAAGTGTCCTATAGTGGAAAAAAATTGAAATTAAATAAAGCATAGCATTTCCATATAAAGTAAGGTTTTGAAATAATCTTTAAGTGGTACTATAATGTTTTATAAACATATAGGTACCAATTGCATGGACATAATGAAATTGCATGAATGAGGAAAAAAAATATTAAGAGTGATTACATCTGAATAATAAGATTATGCATGATTTTATTTTTTCTTTTTAGTTTCAGATGTAGTTAATCCCTACAATAAATATTAATTTTATAATAGGAAGAAATATTAGTTGTCAGGGTAAGGGCAAAAGAAAAAAGTTGTAGAGTGCCATATGGAAATCATAAATCTAAATGTCATAAGTAAAATAAATTAATTCAGTCACACATAAAGTCCACTAAGTATACCTACAGTGAGAAACTCATTCTCACTGCCTCCTCATAGGGGTACAGCCAGGGTCTCTTTCATTCCACAGTTTTAAAATCTACACCAGTAATTCTATAACACATTTTTAATCATCTTGGCAAAACTTCTTTATTTATGCAGAGTGAAATGATGGCAAGAACAATTTAGGACTACAAATCTGTTCAACCTATTACAAACTAACTTAGTCACTAGGTCAACAGTGTTTAGTGAGCATCCATTACATGCAAAGTGTTGTTTGGCAATATGATAGGCTAAAAAATAAATTAGAAAACATCTTATCCTCAAAGAGCTAAAAGTGCTGAAAAAGTCTGTACATAATACCTTTCTATTAATTTTACTGTGAACTCAAAACTGCTCTAAAAAAATGAAGTCTTGCGGGAGGGTATAGCTCAGTGGTAGAGCACATGCCCAGTGTGCACAAGGTCCTGGGTTCAATACCCAGTACCTCCATTAAAAAAATAATAATAATCCTAATTACTCCTCCCCCCCCAAAAAAAAACTCTAAGAAAAGTCTTAAAAAACAAAAAACAAAACAAAAAATATGTACATACAGTTCACATACAAATGTAAATACAATAGAGTTTAAGGCATTTGTGACCGCTCTAGTATACTTTAAAGCAAGAAAATATATGTCGGGTTTATTTTTTATATCATTGAGCAAAAGCTGATATTTAGGTAACACTCAACAAAAGTCATCAGTACATACATGAATGTGTATCACTTATAAAATGCCCTAGTAAGTGTTTTTTCCTTATGTAATCTACTTTTTGTTAATAGAGTTATGTAATAGGAGACCAGCCAGAAAGGAATATTGATTCAATTTCAGATGCCAGATGTGTAAGACTGTCTCATTATCTAAAGACACATAAAACATATGCACAATTATTAACAAGCCAGAGTTATTTATTGTCAACCAAAGTAAATAAGTGAGTTACTTACTAACCCTGCCAAAGACACTGCTATAACACCTCCTCCAGGGGAAGAAAAGGAGGTTAGGATGGATAGCCGAGTGCTGAGGGTGAGAGGATCCCTAATAATCAAAGGTGGTGGTGGTGGTGGTGGTAAAGGTGAACCACTTTTGTTGTGCAGATAAAATAATGCAGCATAGAGTTTCCCTCAACGGTTCACTTTCTTTGTGGCCGGTAACCATAATCGGTATTGCCTGTCTAAAGCCAGTGCCACACTATGCTTCTGAGATTCAGTCAGTGGGGTCAGCTTGTGTGAGGCAGTGCCAAGCACTAACAGAAGCTATTCATGTGATCAATGATCCATGGATCTGGGACAGCAGCAGAGTTAAATTAGGTAAGATGGTTGTTAAGTGATTATCTTTTGCCATCAAACCCGGAATCAACTTCCAGCTCTCTCTCTTCAATTGTATCCTGGGTGAGTTACAATTTCCCTGTCTGTAAATTGATCATTATGTTACCTACCCTATAGGATTGTTTGTGCCTACTACATGTTATAGGCATGTAAAGGAGTGCCTGCTATTAAGTAAGCTATAAAGAAGCTGTTAGTACTGTCCCTGTTGTATGAGAAAAGGAGAGGATGTCTATAACTTTAAGCTATAGAGTTAAGCTAAACAAGGAGTAAGGAGATAGAAAGACAGCTTGCTCAAGATATCAGTCTATATTCTACAGCTCACCCAAGAGCCTGTCAGTCATGTGCATGCTGGATGTTCACAGAACATCTCTGAATCAGGAAACACTATAACAATACGAATAGCCACAATAAGCAACCCTAACGAGACTTTTAAAGTAACATTCTTATTACTGAAGAGGAAGGCAGTGGGTTCTAAGTAATACATGTAGCAAAACTGCCCATTTTTCTGGGTGAAAAATGAAGGATCATAATCTGTACCTAACTGAAACAATCAGGAAATGAAAATATAAGGACAAAATGAATGTAATTATTCAACTGAAATCAGAACAAAGTGTTGTGGGCTCCTTAACAGTCACATATGAGCAGTATCTTATTTATGTATTCTAAAGAGACCCTGCAAATGATCTGAGCTCACATATAATGCAAGGTTTGCAAATATAAGTAAAAAGTATTTTTTTTTGTCAGGGCTTGAAATACAAAATGAATGCATACTGATGTTCTAGCCCTTATTTCTGTTTTGATTTGGAGGACAGCACAAATCCAGAAATGCTAAATGGTGTCTTTAGAATCCCATGCAGTTTATGTAATCCCTAGAACTGTTTTGAGTCATGTGAGAGTGAGGTTACTCTCAGCACCATTCCAGGTGGAGATAGACTATAGAGGATTTTTGTTAAGTTCTTTTTACTTATAGGTTGGCACAAATGTGTTCTCCAGTGGGAACAAAATAGGTCCAACTCTATGTTGTGAAGTGCAGGTAAGTTTATCTTCCCTCCATACTGGTTGGGCCTGGCTAGTGATGGGAGAGGGGGAATTTAATGGTGCCTCTTCAGCCATTAATAAATCTAATACCTTATTTATTTAGGGTACTAAAAAGGGCCTCGTCTGGGTCTCTAGGAGCAATGGCTCCATAAGGGCTCTGAACCTAAATTTAGACTAAAAAACATTTCCCCCATGACTGAGTAAGCATCCGCAGGAATATTTAGTGCTTTACATTTTAAATTTGACATGTTTTTGAGGAAAGCCACTATGTAATCCAAAATGCTTTTATTTTATTTAATATGTGTTTACTTCTTCTAGGCCCACAATTGATCTGGATGCTCTATCATTATTATATTATTATAAAATGTAGACTTTAATCATCAGTAAAGCCAATCTAACTTTTTTTTAATTGAGGTGCCCTAACTTCTGCAGTTTGTCTGAACAGAAAACCTAAGAAGATTAAGAGAAATTGTAATTTTAAAAGGAGACTTGAAAAACTTGTTAGTTATGCTTATTTTTATAAATTACTGAGTTAGCTCTATCAGAAAGAGGAAGTAAGAGAAGAAACAGTTACCTATTTATCAACTCTAAGAACTGGAAATAGATAAAGGGCAATAAGGAAGGAAAAGGAAATCATACCATAAGTACCTATTAACCCAAGGGCACAACTGGTCTGTCTAGACCTTAGGTGAGACTAGCTATAATAAAGCTACAAAATGTATGAAAAGCTAAGTTTACAAAATGATTTTATATTTAAATTTTCTAGCATTATTGGCTAAATGAAACAATATCAAAGTTTATGTGTAAACTGATGAATTTGAACTCTTTAGTAGAAATCTGAACCACAATATACAATGTTAATAACTCTATTTATCCTGTAATTCACACTTCACAGTGTACTAAAGAGAAAACAGTTTTTAATAGATGATTAAAAACAAAACTTCTTACATGACAGTGTAAGAACTAGTAAAGAAAATTAAGAAAATTAGAATTCAGGTAAATGTTAAGAATAACATTTTCAAAATATTCTCAACTTGAAGCTATGACTATGGAAAGGACTTATTCTTGGTGAAAGTGAAAATTCTACTGCTCTGCTTGTATTCATTCCTGGGGTTTTAGTTTAGCTATTATCTCCTTCAGAATGTGATGTCCTGTGTTTAATCTTGTCATAATAATCATCACAGTGCATAGTGCTTATCTTTCATAGACTGTGAACATAGGGACACGGTTTTGTCCAGTTCACCATTACATTACTAGTCCCTAGTACAGTATCTAATAAATAAAAAGTAGGTATGGGTTAAATATTAGTTAAAGGAATGTTGACTGTACTGTGTTATCATCTATGCCTGATGATTAAGAAAATTCACAATGCATTAAAAAATTAACACATTACATTCTTAAACAAATTATTTTGCAACAATTAAAGGACAAATTTCCCAACCTCTTCTTTTCCTTTTCCCTCCTACTTTTCCTCTTAATCAGTAGAAGTCCAAATAATCAGAATCTGAGTCTCAAATGTTTATAAAAGATTAGAAAGCCTGCTTGGTTTGGCCCCACAGTGGACGGAAGGGAGTGATCCAGATTTTACTCTTAAGCAGACACCTGTTATGGTAGAAGTTGAGACAAAGAGTTCCCTGAAAAAGTTTAATCAGTTGTGTGGTTCTTCTGCAAGAGGCTGGCTCTGACTATTGTTTCTAAACAGATCCACCCATTATTTTATTCTTTTGTGTAATTCACTACAGTTTGAATTATTCATGCAGTTACTGGTTTACATGTTTATTCTCTCTCTCTCCCACTAGGATGTACGCTCCATAAAGGCCATATTATTTCGTTCAGCACTCTATACCCAGGGTCTAGTTTAGTGCCTGACACACAATAGACACTCAGTAAGTATTGGTCAGATGTATAAATATGAGGTTTGGAACAGCAGCTTTCAATCAAAAGAGACTGTAAAATTAGGTAGGTAACAGCTACCCCTACTGTTGTTTTCTCTACATTCCAAGACTATCTGCCACATGGAAGCTTGGATGCTGTAGGTACTTCTTTATTGTAAATCCCATTCATTCAATGACAAGTCAGGAAATGTTCAAAAGCAATACTAGGTAGGCTGGAGGTACAATATCTAGGAGAAGTAATGGAATTATAATGAGAACAGCAACCACTTACAATTAGAAGTTTAGAGTTTAAATCCCAGCTTACTAAGTGTGTATACTAGGGGAACTTACATAATTTCCCTAAATATTCAGTTTCATCTAGTTAAAATGGCTTAGATAAAACTTTTATCTAACACGCAGGATTTAATGGCGATTAAGTGAGATTGTATATATAAAAGCAACTGCTAGTATAATTCATGGCATTTAGGAAAAGGGGCTTACTACAAATTAGTTCCTTTGTGTTGGCCAGCCAGTGTCTGCAGCACAATAGAGATAAGATTTGACTAAAACCCCAACAGCAGACATTTTGGGTGGGGAAAAATGAAAGAAACAAGGATTCAAAGGCAAAAATAAAGTAAGTCGGTATGAGGGACAATAAGTTAAAAAAAAAAGCATAAGATAGAGCAGTAGGAACAAAATAGTAGTTACAAATGAAAAGACATTTTAACATGATACAAAAATTGCCAAGAAAATCTATTAGCTTTTTCTTAGGTGACATAAATGTCCCCTCATATAAATAAAATAACTGCTACTATTATAGTTGGGAGAAAAATCAACTGAAACATATTCAAGATTTAACATTCTTTACATGACTTCACATGCTGGAAACTCAGCCTGTGTAAATATAGCCATGAACTTTATTATTTACTGTGGTAAAGTAAAAGCATTATACTCCTCTGTGTACTACCTGCACAGTTATAAAGGCAAATGTGGACTTGCTCTTTAGGTACAATTACAAGGCATCAAAATGTAGAGGTCGGCCCTTTCTTTGCATTTTGTTATTATCAGAGGCAATGGTTACCAACATTGGAAGAGAAACTGGCTATCATGAAAACTTTATTGGAAATTCTTTTTTTCACATTTAGTTCCTTTCACTTTCTTATTATCTTAGTCAAACTTACATCAGCTCCCTCATTAAAACTGTTTTCTGGCTGAATCATTATCTTTCTAGTCTCTGTTTGGGGGTGTGTGTGTGTGTGTGTGTGTGTGTGTGTGTGTACTCCGGTCTGTTCACTGATAAAGAAAGAGAATAAGAGGACTTAGATGCATTGCATACCAAAAGTAATCACCACATCACCTCAAGGAATGCCCACGCAGTACCAATAAGTTCATAAAAAGAGTTCATTTGAATTCATAGTCTTTGTTGACCTGTGATGATAAACTTCTTTTTAAATACTCTACCTATTTTTCTTTTTCTTTCTATCTTATCTTTTTTTTTTTTTTGTATCATCACCACCTAGTTCAGGGACAGGCTCAAAATACACAGCCACTGAATATTTCCTTCGTTATCAAAAAAAAAAAATTATTGAGTGTTTACTATATGCCAGGCATTGTTCTAGGTGGTGAATATACAGCAATGAAAATAATAGATGAAAATTTCTAATCTCATGGAAATTATATTTTTGTGTGGGCCACTGACAATAAGCAAGAAAAATAAGTTAAATATATAGAATGATAGAAAAGGATTCATGCTAAGGAATTAAAATAAAGCAAGGAAGGGAAAAATAAATTCTAGGATGGTGGAGTTGTGATTGAAATTTCAGATAGGGTGACCAGTGATGATATCATTGAAAAGTCACATTCAGGTAAAGACCTGAAAGAAATAAGGGAATGAGTTGGGAAGATAACCTCAGAGCAAAAGCATTCAAGCCAAAGAATGGAAAGGAAAAAGTTCCCCTGGGAGGAGTATGCTCTTCTGCTCTCCATAAAAATGTCAGGCTAGATTCACACAGAATATTCCTGTCAAAACATAGAGGTGCTACATTTAAGAGAGAAAACACACAAACACATAGGTAAACAAAACTTTTAAAATGTTTGATCTTACAAGAAAGAAATTAAAATTCTAAAAAGATAGTAATATAAAGGGATGTGAAAAACAGAGCATTTGGCATCATTATGATGCTACCACCACACCCCAGAGGTATTATCCAACTCAGAAGTAATCATAAAATCTTAGGGACACAAAGCAGGTTTACAATAATGGCGATCATATAGAATGGGAACCAAGTAATACGACTGGACTCCTTCAAAAAAGAAGAAACACTCTACTAGGACACTCTCAACAACCTCGGCCATGTAGAAGTCACAAGAAAAGGAAACTCCAATGAAGAAGAGATTACATATCAAAAATATCAAACATATAAGAAGAGGCTTTTCCATACATGAGTCAGCAGACACAAAAGTGCTTTACACCAAATATGAGCATTAACTTAGAAAATGAATGGGAGGGCACAAAGAACTGAAGTAATAGAATATTAATCTCGGACTTCAGTGGGACAAAACTTTAAAATGATTTTTTAAAAAAATTTAAAAAGAGGCAAAAATAAGGAGAAAAAAACATGAAAAAGGCAGATGTGATAAAAACCAGAGAGATTTACAGGAATGTAGTGTCTATTAAAATTAATATATGAAATGAGTCTATATCACATTAGATGCAGCTAAAGGAAGAATTACTGAAATGAAAGATAATTCTTAGAAATTTACTCAGAATAAAAAAGGAAGACGGAAAATATAAAAAGAAAGATTAAGAGATATGAAGGATAAAATTAAAAGATCTAGCATATGTCTAGAAAGTGAGAATGAAAAAAATAAAGACAAAAAGGCACTATCTGAATTAATAATGGATCTTTTCCAGAATTAATAAAAACAAGAAACATCAGATACATAAAGCAAGTCCCAAGAATTAAAAAAAAAATCCAAATCTAGATACATTATAATGAGATCTAGAACACTGTATCACTCGTGGTCCAATCAAGGAAAATGCAAACCACTCAGAGTATTTAAAATGTGTTAATACAAAGTATGCAAAAGAGCCTGACAAGTGAACCGAGGTATAATGACA